TCTAGTTATCTTTAATTTGAGACTTTCTTCACACTTTTCTGCTTAGAAGATTAGGGTAATATTTCCGTTTATTTTATTTTCCTTTTTTTATAGCCTCACTTTCCACATTTAGCTCTAATCCATTGAAATTTATTTTGGCATGTAGTTGAGGTGACTATCAACCATTTTTTTTCAGTAATTGACCAATTGTCCTTTTATGGACAATTCTTTTTTCCACTAAATTGTTGAGCTATATATATCATATACAAACTCACTGTGGTTTCTATTGTCTGTTTCTGTGCCGTGTACTCTAATTTTGTTCCATTAGTTTTTCAGTTGAGTTTTTCTCTCCTGCTACAGAGCTTTGATTATTGTAGCATGATGGCACATGTTAGCTTCTGCCTCGGCAAGGCCCCACTCTAATCTCTTTTGTAAAAATTTATTTGGTGTTCTAATTTATACATTATTTCAGATATATTTTTAAATTATCTTTAAAGTTTCATATGAAAATTCCACATGGGCGAATTATTATAATAATAAAAAGCTGTAAGCAATTTGGGCAATATTTACAGTTAACAATAGTTGGCATTCCTTTACCAGAAATACATCCCTCCTTTATTTTATTTTATTTTTTTTGGTAAAGTCACACACTTTTGTTCTTTTCTAGCTCTCACACAATTGTTATTATTGCTGTCAAGGATATTCTTTGGTGTTTTACATTATTATTGTGAGTAAGATTACTGTTTCATCATATCTTGTCAATAATGATTACTGGTACATAGAAAGCTATTTATTCATTCATTTATTCTTTCATCAAATACCTAGCACTAATTAAGTGCTGAGTAGTTAATAGGATTATGCTGAGCATTTATCTACTGTGCTAGATAATAGGTGTCACTCATTGTCTAAACAAAATTTCCGTAATATTAGAATCAAAAATTTAGTGTGGCAGACAGGCATCAACCAACCAAGCAAGCAAATAAATATATAATTATAATTTGTGTTAAAAGCACAGGGTGCAGGAATAAAGAATAGCAGGGAAATCCTGGTTCGATATAGTGATCTGAGAAAACTATAACAAAGCCCAAAACAGAAGGATGAGAGAAATCACCAAGGTGAGAAGTATCGGGGGAGTGTCCAAGACAGAGGGAACAGTGGTTGAGTAGACCACAGATAGGAAAGACACAGTGGAGAGACAGAAAGTAAACCAGATTGATTGGAACAACACGAGTAAGGGAGGAAGTGGTAGGAAATGAGCTTGAAGAGGATCAAGCAAGCTTTATTATCATGATGGGGAGTTTGCATTTTACTCTTTTTTTAGCAATAATTTATCTACCTATCTGTTTAAAATCTATATATTTGAGTAGGTACGACATGCACATATACAAAACACAAAAGGTAGAGATTGTAAACCCAAGCTTCAGTTTCTGTCCCCAAAATATCCAGTACCTACTCGGTCTGTGCATATAAAAATAACAGCAAATGCTAATCCTTTGCTTTTTTTCCCCTCTTAATATACCATTCAATTGTATGGATTTATAATTTAACCAATCCTCTGATCATGCCCATTTAAGTTATTTCCACTAATATGCTATGATAAACAATATTATGATACCCTTTGAATTTTGCATAGCAGTGGTCATATTTATAAAATAAGTCTGTAGATGTGGAGTTACTGGGCTAATGAGTATGAATATTGTCAGCTTTTATACATATTACCACATTCATACATTCCCCAACTAGGTATGAGAGTGACTATTTCCCCCACAATCTAGCCAAGTTATCAAAGTTTTGATCATTGTTGATTTATTGGGTAATAATTGACATCATATTCTGTCTCATGTATTCATCAGCAATATATTGTTTAGTTTTACTTGTTCTGAACTTTGTCATTAGCATCATACTTTTTTCTAATTTCTGTACTTACCCATGTTGATGCATAAGGTGATAGTTGATTTATTTTCACTGCTGATTAGTATTTTGTTGTTATAATGTAACACAAAATATATATCTACTCTACTATTGATGGACATTCAGATTCTTTCCAGTTCCAAGCCCATATGGAAAATGCTTCTCTGAACATCTTAGGCATGTCTCCTGGGCAAACATGCAAAGGTGACTCTGGGGTGTGGCATAGAAAGGCGCAGTTGTAGGATGCACAAATTAAACATTAGTGTGTAAAGCCCAAGTAGCATCAATTCGTATTCCCACCAGCATCCTTCCCATTTTAATAATGTCCCATTTGGCGGGGGGGGAGTCCAACTTTGTGTGTATGAAATGATCTTGTATTTTACCTTTGTTTTCCAAGGGATTGGGATTGGTTGTCTTTTTCTGATAGATTTATAGAAGTTCATCATATGAACTGAAAATGAATTCTTTGCTGGTTATAAGTGCTGCAAATATCTTTTCTCAGTATTTTTTCCATTTTATTTATGTTGTCTTTGGATAGAGTCAAAATTCTTAACTTTAATTTGATAAGTGTATTAATCTATTCTTTATGGCTTCCACTCTTTGTGTTTTATTTTTTAACTCTCTCAAGGTAATAAAGATATTCTTCTAGATTGTCTTCTAAAATTTTATATTTTTGCGTTTCATATGTAAAACTTCAATCCATCTGCAATGAATTTATTTTCCATGTGGATAACAGTTTGTCCCAAATGCTTTATTGAAAAGTTCTTCTCTCCTTAGACCTGCAATGCCCGGTTGTCAAGATTGTGTGTTTATGTTTCTGGGTTCTCTACTCACATCCATTAGTCATTTTGCGTATCCTTGTACAAATACCACGGTCTCTTAATTACTGTAGTGTTACAATGAGTCTCTATACCTGGGACTGCAAGTCTCCCCATTCTGTTATTCTTTAGGAATATCTTGTGTATTCTTGACCCTTTGCCCTTCCATATAAATGTTAGAATCATCTTGAATTTCACTGGGGGGAAAAACACCTACTGAGATTTGAGAATTTTGCTACTGCAGTTCTTTCCTATCCATAATATGGTATACAGTCCTACATTTATTAGAACTTCTTTGATTACGTTTAATTAATGTTCATGATTTTCACAATTAAGGATTTGCACATATTATGCCTTAGATAATTTTCTAGATAGCTTATGGCTTGGTAACACAGAATGTGAAAAATAACATATATATATATAGATAAATTATATATAAAATGTTGAAACTCCATTTTCAGTTTGTTTTGGCCTCATGTGTGTATAGAAATGCACTTTACTTTTCGTTTTGATTTTATATTCAGCATCTTTGCTAAACTCTTATTCATCCTAACAATTTTTCTGTAGAGACTTTTGGAGATTCCATATGGATAATCATATCATCTGCAAATGATGACAGTGTCACTTTTCCTTTCCATCAGGACTTTGGGCTTTCCATGTGGAAATATTTTTAATTATGATTTTATTTATTTAATTTTTATCTTCTCTTTTTGAGTCAGCCTTGGTAAAATGCATTTTCAGAAATATATCGATTCCATGTAAGATAGTATTAGCATTAATCATAGTATATTTTTACTATTGATTGGTTTCTGCAATATCTTTAAATGTCCAATTTTCTATTTCTAATATTATTTATTTGTGCCTTTCCTTTCTTTTCCTTCTTGAGCTTATAAGAAGTGTTTCTGTTTTATTAGTCCTTTAAGAGAACAAAGTATTGACTTTATTGATCATCTTTATTGTATATTTGTTTTTTTGGTTCATTAGTTGCTGCTCCTATTTTATTTTGTTTTCTTCCTTCTACATAGTTTTAGTTTACTCGGGTTTTTGTTGTTGTTGCTGTTAGTTTTGTGATTTTGCTAAATCCTTAAGTTGAATGACTAGCACATTCATTTTCAACCTTCTTCCTCTTTTTTTTAATGAAGACTTTATGATTATAAATTTCTCTATAAGGACCACTAAATTCTATTCAGTGATATTTTCATTATTCTTTACCTATACTACATATTTTCTATTATTCTTAGATCCATAAGTTATTCAGAAATATTTTCAATTTCCAAACAGATGGTGTCTTTCTAGTGATCTTTTTATATTGCTTTGTAACTGGATTCACTGTAGTCATTGACTGTGGTTACGTGATACTAGTTCTTTGAAATTTGCTGAGGCTAGCTTCAGGTCCTACTAGAAGATCATATTTTACAAATTTTCAGTATGTGTCTAAAAATAATTTGTACTAATTACTGAATATAAAATCCCATTTTATGGTTGTCCATTATAGGAGCTATTCAATTCATCTCTTTGATGATTTTTTTTTTTCTGCTTGGTATGTTAACTACTAAAAATTGTATTTAAATAGACTACTGTAATGTAGACTTATAAATAATTACACAGATTTCTATATTATTTTACATTGTATATTTTGAAGCTATATTATTAAATTTGTCCTAAGTTCAGAATTTTTATATCTTTCTGGTGAATTAAACCTTCTAACATTATATAGTAACCCTTTTTATATCTAGTAATGCTTTTTTCTTAAATTCTCTTTAATTTGGTATTTACACAACAAAACTAGTTTTATTCTGTTTGACTCAAACTTTTTATATCAGCATATTTTAGAAATATCTCCTACAAATAGCACATAGAATATTTCTTTTTATCTAATCTGAAAGTATTATCATAGCTTAAGAGTATATCCCTATATGTAACATTTTTCTCTGTTTTCAAGAATTTCTTTTGCTTTTAGCATTTTGCCTATGATGTGCCCAAGCACAGTTGTGTTCACATTTATCCTGTGTGAGGTTTTCTGAGATTCTTGATCTGTAAATGCATGGCTTTACAATATTTGCAAAAAAAAAAAATTGTTTATTATTTATTCAAACAAACTATTTTTTCTCTCCTTCTGAGAATCCAATTACATGTATGTTAAGCCTTTTAATATTGTTTATTTACTGTGAAACATTTGGATTGCTACATTTAGATTTACCTTTGGAATTTTTATTTATTTTTTTCTCTTTACCTCCAAACAGCTCTTGTTTTAACCACCTGACCAGGCTGTTTAAAATTCTGTTTCAGGTTGTGGCCCAGGCAGTGTTGTTCATGTGTATGAACACAGCTGGAATCTTCATCAGTTACCTGTCAGACCGGGCCCAGCGCCAAGCCTTCCTGGAGACACGGAGGTGTGTGGAGGCGAGGCTGCGCCTGGAGACAGAGAACCAAAGACAGGTACCAAGTGGCATGGCTTTGTGTCCCAGTTATCAACTAACCAGTCTCTGAATTACATGGAGCTTTTTTTCCTCCCAAACACATTCTGACTTGCAAGCGCTTTCTCCAAGTTTGTGTCATGGGATTCCAGAGTCTAAAATAGTTATGTTAGGCTTACAGGTCAAAGTGGGTTTGTCTTATTCTACACACTCAATTATAGTCACAAGTCACATAATGACAGGAATACGTTCTGAGAAATGTGCCGTTAGACCATTTCGTTGTGTGAACGTCATAGCCTGCACTGACATAAACCTAGATGGCATAGCCTTCTGCACACCTAGGCTATAAGGTGTAGCCATTATAATCTTATGGGACCACCATGGTATATGTGGTCTGTTGTTGACCAAAACATCGATATGTGGAGCATGACTCTGTTCCCCACAAGAAATAAAATAATTGTAGTCACAAGGTAGCTTTCTTACACCTGTGACTGACGTCTATGTGAGTGAACAAGGTCATGGTTCTAAAAATCATCAACTTTCACCTTTGGCCCTCATTCTCTGACACTGTAAATTGTTATTGCAGATAAAATCTTTCACTGCATAGCAATTCAAATTATAGGAATCACATAGAAGAATCTTGTACATGTCTGGTCCTTAATAAGTCATCCTGATTTTCAGAAGAGGTATTGCACAAAATAAATTCTATAGACATGACGCCAATTCCAGATTAGGGGTTGCAGTAGGCAAGCAGGTTAGATGGGGCCAGGGGGGAAATAATGAGTTCCAGCTTGCAGGGGCTGCAATAAAGGAGTTTCTTGGACATATTGATCGGGTGAATGTTATGGGGACTTAAAAAACAGTGTTGTCCCCAAATGATAGTTTCTCCAAGATGAAATTAGCTTTCAAAGAACAAAGATTTGCCCCATTAAGCTATTCATGTATTCAAAATCCATGTATACTTTGCTTCTAAAAGCAGTTTTCAAAGGGAAATATCAGGAATGTGTTGGAAATTAGTTTTAAAATCAACATATAGTTTCCTGAGTTTATATGCTCTTGGGAATTCTGTGCTCAATAGATATATTAGTCCTACTATACTAGGCTTTTTTTCTTAAAGTTACGTCTTGTATATTATAACACTTGTTACTTTAAGCTTTATTCAATAATGGTTTGAGAAATTATGAAGAAAGTAGCAGTGAAAGATCCAACATTTTCTTCTTGATAAATTTGATGAAATCACCAGGAAAACACGGATCTCTGAAGTAAGTGAAGCCAGGTCTGTGTATAATGGATGAGGTGGACAGGTAGGGTACAACTTGCCAAGACTCAATGCTCACTGCCACAAGTTATCACCAGGGGCACAGAGGAGACTACTGAATTTCCAGCTTCTACGCTGACTTCGCAGGATTTAGAACAGAGAATTTCTAAGTTAATGTCTAAGACAATTATGGAACCTCACTTACAGTTTTATTGTTTTTCTGAATAGCTCTTGGAATAATTTTTTTAAAATAACTTTAAGGAAGAAAGCACCTTATACAAGAAACATGAGTATCTCCCAAGACTGTGTATTATGTTGCTGTGCAAAACAGAGCAGCTTCCAGACTGGCACGTCACTCTTTCCATGGAATCTGTGCCAATTCAGAGAATGCTGCCATGTTAATAATTTATTCAACTATTCTTGATGTTCTATCACAACAAGAACTGCAACTGTGGGCGAGTTGTCTGGAATGCCTTTTATTTAGTGTTTATAAAATATTGGAGACACTGAAAATTATTGCCTTATCATATCCATAAAACTTTTTTTCTTTTCCCATCCTTTAAGTTGGGTATCTTGGAATCACCATGGTCTAGTAATCTAACTTGGTGGAAGGATCTAGTAATCTAACATATGGAGGGTCTTCTACCTTCCTCCCTAACCTTTTTTCTTTTAAGTTGGTAGAAGAAGAAAGAAAATAATAATAAACAGAGGTGAGAACAAGTGACAACCAGAATGTAGTGAAAAGGCCACTAGAGTTTGTGCAGTGGCTGTCTTCCTAGTTGACCCACCTAAGTCACCTGCCTCCCAGCCCCAGGTTCCTTGTTCATACGTGGGCCATATCTCTCTCTTCAGCACTGCATTTGCCTCAAATGAGATAACATGTATAAAACAATACAAAATTATGTCAGTATTATTTTCATGGATGAAATACAAGAAAAGACAATGTTTTGGTGAAAAGTTCTTTGTTCTGAGGATTAAGTAAAATCTGCTGTAGGCATCTTATAGTGCTATGTTCACAACTATGATAAAGTATTTCTGGCATACTGACCACCCCTTCTTCCCCCAGGGGTAATATCTGAGATAGCCAGCTTTATATCATTCGATGATAAAGTTACTTTCCATTGACACTTGATCTCTGCTTCAGGTTTCAATTATCCCTGAGAACTTCCTCAGTGGTAGATGGACAGTGTTGTCTAGATAGAAGATGCAGACTTTCAAACAAGACCACCCTGGATTTGAAATCTTTGCTTAGTGACTATTTTAGTGAGCTTGAGCAAGTTCTGTGTCTTAGTTTCTCCATCTATAGATGGAGATAATAACACCTTTCCTGAAAATTATCCTTAATGGCTAAAAATATTGTGAGCAATAGGCTTGCAAATCAGTGAAGAGTTTCTATTAGGATTATTGTGCATAATGATTTATGTGAGTCAGCAATATAGCTCAGTTTCAAGAAAGCTCATTTAAGAATACATTATAGATTGGCTTGTCTAAGTTGAAGTAACTTAGGGTTATTTATATGGAGGTAAAGCAGGATGGTGGTTCTCTTTAGGTACATAGCAACCAGAACACATCACTAAGCTCCATCCGTATCCTTTAAAATATCCTGTGTCTTTGACTAATTCATCCCCATTTACCTCTTATTGGAGCTAATTATAATGCTGTAACTATTAAAAGTTATATACTTTGTGAAGGAGACACTGTAAGACCCTAAGTGACAGCAGATGCTTTTTCCTAGGATAATTATCCCAAAGGTGACTAATGGATTTTTTTTTTCGGCATTAAAAGTGCAGAATCAAAAAGGCCCTATTCCACAGCAATGATCAATTTTGTGGTATTTTCTAAGCACTGGGTTTATCTCATGATAGGATACAAAGGAATTATTTATGTGACTTAATTTGTTCAACCATGAATTTATTTATTGAGAGTACATTATGTGCTGGGAGCCCTGCTGGGTATTGGGAATATAAATGCTGATAATCAGTTTCTGTCCTTACAGAGTTTACCGGGTATAAAAGGAGACAAATGACTGTATAGATAGTTGTGGCAATAGTGTGTGGGACATACCTAATCTAGAGGCTTATAGAAGGATACCCAGGAGAAATGCTATCTGACATGTTAATAGAATTTAGTTCAGTGGAGAAGCACAGAAGAGTACCCTATAAAGGGCAAAAACACATGCAAGCATCTTGAAGGAAGAAAGAACATAATTTGGGGGAAAAATTATGAGCATTCCCGTGACCATTCATTCACTTATTCATCTATCCATCCACACATTCATGCTGTAGACACAGAGATAAATAAGACTCAGTCTTTACTCTGGATTTGGCCTGGAAGATAAGTAAAATTTTAGTTATTGGAATAGAAGAAAGAAAGTAATTAACAAAGATATTGATGACAAGACATATGTGATCTGTTGAAGGACAGCAATGCTGGGCAGCAGGTTTTCTCTGATACCCTCCAGCAAATTGTGCACTTCTTCAGTGGGACACTACTATTTTCTATTCAATGAAAACTGTACATTTATTGAGTGTTAACTATTTATCAGGCATTGCTCAAAGTACTGTGTACACCAAAGTGAAGAAAATCTATTCCAGATCTCTATTATAGCATGCCACACTGGATCTCAATCATCACATGCCTGTTTGTTAGGGTAAACTGTGAGACCCTGAAGGATGTCCCATGATTCATTCCTCTATATATCCCTTCTAGCACTGCCTAAAACCCAATGTGGAGACTATTTATCAGGCATTGCTCAAAGTACTGTGTACACCAAAGTGAAGAAAATCTATTCCAGACCTCTATTATAGCATGCCACACTGGATCTCAATCATCACATGCCTGTTTGTTAGGGTAAACTGTGAGACCCTGAAGGATGTCCCATGACTCATTCCTCTATATATCCCTTCTAGCACTGCCTAAAACCCAATGTGGAATATATGATGACTAAATATTGAGATCATCAATATTTAATGGTATTTACTAATTATTTTTCCAAAGAAAAATTGTCAAGCAGTAGCTAGAGGGTAAGTGGCACATGTACCTTGCTTCCTCTTGCTTGGTGGATCCCATTACATAATGAGATTCTAAAAGTCCTGGGAAATAAGCTTTTTCCTTGGATAACCTGCAATTACATGCATGGTTCTTGAGGTCAAGAGCAAGCAGGCAGGAGAGGCCACAAAATTTTAAAAACCTTTGCTCAATGTCTCTTCTAATTAAGCTCCTTGAAGGTGACTCTTAACTTTACGTCTATCTCACTTCCCTCCCATAGTAGCTGGCACAATGCTGAGCAGAAACTATTGAATGAGCCCAAATGCTGACATTTTTAATTTAGATGATTGGCTGCAAGAGATTGAGCACAGGTTGCCCCTTGTCTTTGGGAAAGCATGAACTTTGTCTCCTTTTAAAATTTTATTTCATCACCAATTGCAACTAGCATGGAGCATACTAATCATCTCCTATCTGGTATCCTGATCTCCAGCTTCTCTTTCTCCAAACTGTTCTTCATCCCAAAAGCCTGGTCTGGTTTCAGAACCAGAATAGGGTAGTGCTTAAGAGCAAACCCTTCATTTTCTGGAAGATCTGTGTTCCTATACCACTTCCTGCACTTCCTGGCTATGGGAAATTAAGCAAACTTCTCCCATCTGGGGACCTTGATTTTTTGAATGTAAGATGAGCATAATGATTATACCTTACTCCAAGGGTTGTGGTGGAGATTAAGGATGAACAGTTCTCAGTTCAAGGCGGAGTAAATGCTCAAGGCATAT